TTTACACTCAAAGCCAGACCTCATGGGATGAAAAATAAGTATGTTGGCCAGCACTATTGATTCTGAAGAATTCTAGCATACACATTCTGGGAGCATACGTGGACAAAATCGCAGGGGGCGAACACTCGAGTTTAGGTTGTAAATGTTCAGTGCTTCTGATAATGTTTAGGCCCTCAATAGGAGCCCCCCAATGTGTTTAGCCCAGGGGTCAGCAACCTTCATTTGTGTGAACACAATGACAATTATTTCTCTTTTCACTTCGACAACATTCATGCATTCATACATACATGAACTGTACGGACTCAGAAAATGACTCATTTACGTGCATTTATTTGCGATTTGCCACATCCAATGTGGCGGACGCACTGACGTTTTTGGAGTAATGGACCAACCGGGTCGTAGTTGTTACATCCAAAAGTGTCCTCCTCCCCCCCAACGATGTGGCGGTACTCTCTGGCAACCTAACCTACCGAAGGAACGCGCAGGCACCATCGATAAGCTTGTCTGGAAAGAAATTGTTGACTATGACACTACAAATTGAACAAATGCAAACGAGGAAGCCGCTCCGTAAATGATAAAGAATTCGGTTGATAAGTCGCATTGGCGGACCTAGTTTATTATCACCATCTAAAGATTAGCACCAAAGACTGCTGTCACCTAGTCAGGCTAGCAACTTGCTAGTAGCAAGCACAGTAGTTCATATTTAGCCTGACGGCTAATGCTGTTTGGCCATTGTTGTCAGGCGAACTCGTGAGGCTTTAGGATATCCTATGAACTCGGAAATTTCGTAGTGTGTGCAAACATGTCCACCACTTCGTTGGATAAAGAACTCCAGGAGCGACTGAGAGAGGCGTCTGCAATCGGGGACATTGACGAAGTGCGGACATTGGTCGAGAGTGGAGTCAACATCAATTCCCAAAACGAAATCAATGGATGGTAAGTTTGAGCTCTAAAGCATAATATTAAGTGAGGTCTCCCTAACATGAAAAGCCACAAAATGTGTTTGCCTTCACCCATTGTAAAGTATTGACGCGTACCAACTTCCAGGAAGTTGCTTGGTGAGTTGTATGTTTGGTTTGCGCTGTGATATCCCATTAGACAAATCATGGCTTAATCCTCTCGAGCTGCCAGTAGGAAATCCTTTAAGTGAGTCATTTGGTCTTTCACGCAAAAACAAACAAAAAAACACTGAGCAAACAAAATATTAACAGGCACACCAGATCCCTAATCATGAACATGGCTTTTTATATAGTTATTTGTCATAGTTATTCAGTGTTATAATAGATTAACTAAACTCTCTGCCACTATTAGATGAGGTTGTTGGAATCTCATTTACATGTGCGTGATTGTATTTAATCTCACCAGGACTTGCCTGCATTGGGCATGCAAGCGGAACCATAAGCAGATTGTGTCGTACTTACTTAGTAGTGGTGCAGACAAAGACATCCTCACAGCTAAGGATGAGCTGGCCTCCCAGCTCACATCGAAACCGGAGATCAAACGGCTTTTAGGAGGTAAACGATTGTCACAGTTTTTCTTGCCTCAAAACATTTGTTTATAGTCTTTATCTTTGGACATGAACACAAATGTGACTTGCCATTTTCAGTAAGCTTTTTTTTTTTTTAACGTCCACAGTTGAAGTGGAGGATGTGCCTGAAGTCAACGAGCCTGAACTGCCAATCATCCCCAACTATTTGTCTAATCCTCCGTTCTTGTACGCAAAGATGGATAACAAGATGGAGCTCCTCCTTTCTCAGCACCTTGCACAAAATGGGTCTGTGGAACACACGGAGTCCATGGACAGCAATTCAGCTCCACTTTCTCCAACCCAGCACTTTCAGACATCACAGAGTCCGGCCCCTGATGACCTGGTTCCGCCAACGCACCCCATCACTCACAGCCAAGTTCAGAGCCGGGAATTCGTTCCAGCGGCTGAGCAAAACGGGGTGTCGCCTGGCTCGGCCGCATCCCACAACCACACGGTGGTAAACTGCCCAGTGCCCGTGGATCTGTCGGTTGAGCCGCACCTCGTCAACCACGCAGTGCCACACAATGGAACCATGTGCTCGCCTTCTTTGGCCTCACCCAGCCCAAGTTTGGCTTGCAGCAATGGCAGTCAGGTCCAAGCACCGGTGACCAACGCTAACCCGACAGTGAGCAGGCAGCAGTCTGTGCCACAGCAGATAGGCTACAGTCAACCAGGCGGACCTTTGCCGGCCTTCCAGCCGTTTTTCTTCACAAGCACCTTCCCCGTCAATGTGCAAGGTGAGAGCAAACTATTGCGAAGTCTTTACAATCATGTGTCAATCAAGTGTTCTGTTTATTTAAACACTGTTACATTTCTCTTAAGTTGTTGATGTCAGTGGGGTAAATGGACCTTTCTTGTGAATGAGTATACCGTCCCAAACTGTACCATGGTGAACCCACCTGTGGCTTAAATCCCCACCGTAGAGTTAGTACTGAAGGTGCGTATCCAGAACCCCAACGCCCGTGAGAACGACTTCATCGAGGTGGAACTGGACCGCCAGGAGCTCACGTATCGCTCCCTGCTGAGGGTCTGCTGCCGTGAATTGGACATCAGCGCCGAGCACGTGGAGAAGATCCGCAAGCTACCAAACACGATGTTGCGAAAGGTGAGATACACTTGAATGAACCGTTTTTTTTTTTTTAAAGTTTCCATGTTGTACCGGCGCTATTGGAGACAAACATGACCCCTTTTTGACTTTTGACAACAATAAAAATGCCCTCTGTTTCAATAGGAAATTTAGAGCCCTTTACTGAAGAGACTCAAAGTACCGTTTTCGTTTTTATAAAAATAGTTTTTTCAATTTAGTTAGGTTTTATGAACTACAATAACCATGGCACTTCCAGCACATTTGTGCAGGTTCCTGCAGAAATATGCAACTGTTTGTCCTTGAAGAGTCACCGGGGGAGTCTTGAAACATTAATATAATCCAAATCACGCATATATGTATTTTTAAGGGACCAACAGTGTTCACGTTGGGATTTTGAAATATTCCCAAGCACTGTCAGTGACACAATCCTCTTTCTCAGAAACATGAAGGACAGGCTAGTCGCATTACCAAAAGAAATGTAATTGATTATTCCGTACGAATGTGAAATTCGCATGACGTGATTAATAGAATTTTGATACGTAGCGTTGTTGCCGTGTTGTGGGATTACAGGAGCAACTTCTTCATATGCGATATATTCAACAACTGATCAAATCTGCAACCGATGTCCCTCTTTTGCCCAGGACAAAGATGTCGCCCGGCTGCAGGATTTTCAGGAGCTGGAGGTTGTCCTGGAGAAATCCGAGGGCTTGTCCCTGTTCTCCGGGACGGGGGGGCTCACTGACAGGCCCTGCTACAACATGAAGGCCTCGCGCCTCACCTACTAGAGCGCCCCCGGTCTCCCTGCTTTTCACGGGCTTCGGTAGCCACATTTGAGCTAACCAGTTGCCCCGCCAGCGCCCCAAGCTTTGTTCAGCTCGGGCGCTCTTGTCACTTGTCTTAGCGGGATTCCCTTTTTCCAGTTCTCAAGCTCTTTGTCCTCCTGCGGGCCCTTTCGCTGCTTTGGTGTTCCCAACTCCCGAGATTACTGATGCATGGTGTCTTGGATTACGAGAGAAAGTAATTGGGCCTTTCTCTCCGTCGCCACCCGGTGCACCTCGTGCCAAGACTCCAGCGAGATGACAGGACGTTGGTCGTGGACATGAGCTTGTCTTCCTGGGGTTTCTGCAATAGCCTTATTTGGACATGTCCAACTCCAAGCTGCGGAGCAAGGTGTGGCGCCCGATTTGCTTCGCTGTCACCGGACAGTAGCTACGATCGAAATCGAAGTGATAGAACGTGTTCCAGCTTGCTAACGCACCGTCATACATGCTGTTGCTTCAACCTTAGTGTCTTTGCTGCAGAGCGGAGCTCGGTTAGCTGCTTTAATTGTTGGTCTCTTCGGACGGATCATTTTGACTGCTGTCTGCGTACGTTCCGACGTGATGGAGATGAAGCGCACCGTGGAAAAGAAACGCTTTTAGTTTGTACCGTTTTCCATGGGTTCCGATTCCAATTCGTAAATAGTTGTTTTAAATTCCCAGATACCTCACCGTCTCTGAAGTATGTATAGTTTCTTTTTTTCTTTTGGAGTGACTGTCACTAACAAGGCCGGACCACGCGTTGTGCTTTCAACTAACAAGGCTCATGCAGTAAAGCCACATGTAATCCCCCCCCCCTTCTACTTCCACAGGTGGCAACTTACGTTGTACGATACAAGGAACTGCCCTCACTGAGCTAATTTGACCTGCTGATAAGCAAACGACAGAATATCTCTGCATCACAAAGGAATGCAGCTCAACAGGTTTGTTTGTTTGAATTGAAGAAGCGGAGGGGAATGAAAACTGCACCTGTTTATTGTTCCAAAAGTACAATGACTAAAAAGCTACAATGGAGGCGCGGGAGAGGGTGTTTCCTTGTTGCCACCTTTCTCAATGGCAGTTTTTTTTCTTATCGTTTTTTTTGTTTTTAATGGTAGTGTTATTACAGAACAGAAGTCTGTTTAACCTAACGTAAAACTGCACTGACAAGATGACTATTGCTCCAATTTTTAAAAAAATGTGAGGATGGTCATGCGCGTATTGAGGACCTGATGGCAAATGGAAATGTTAATGCTGCTCTTACCATCGTGTTCCGCCAATACTTAGGCTCAATTCCAGACATTGGTGCCGTAGACTGCGCCATGTTGTACATCCTACAAATCAAAAGGTTTCTTACCAGCATCGTTTCCTTTTCACATCTATACCTGAAGCTCTTACTTTATATCTATATTTTTTATTAATTAGCACAGTTTTGTTTTTTTTTTCAACCAGGTAGGCCTGTTGTGTTTGTGTCACAACATTCATGTCGGAAGTTGGAAGAAGGTGCAATGTGAGGTAAAGACGATGGAAAAGGCTTGATGAAACCGCAAATGTGAAGACAGGGTGAGAGCGTTGTGTTTAAAATGAGTTTGATTCTGTGAAAAAGGAGAGGACTAACAATCTTACTGGGTTTGTTTATCGTTCCAGAGTTGAAGCAGAATAGAGTTTGACTTAACCTATGCATCCAGAGTCTGATATTTTTCTAAAAGATGTGTCATGTGTTCTTGCAGACATAATCGTAGGCACTGTTGAAGCTGTGTTTTTCGTTCTGGAGACCTGTACATGTTCTTTGATAAAGCATGGTGAATGACTTCATCTTTTCTCAGGCTTCCTTCCTTCAACACGCCGTCCTGTGACTATCAATGTTGAGTCTGTCGTGTCGTGGGTATGATCATGTCATCCAACATTGGTGAAATGCAACATTAGAAACACTGGCGGGAGTTAGAGTCAGACGTCGTTTAAATCTTGTAAAGCCATAGTTTAATTTGTTAAATTGGAGGTTAGAAGCCACGCCTTAGTTATTACAATTGTCCGAGTAAAGTGTCCATTTTCTGTAAGCGACTAAATGATCAGTATCGCGGCTGTGGGAATGGTTTCAATTTGATAATTCGCCGCTAGATGGCAGCAGTGGCTTTGATCACACGAGCTGGCATTAAATGAGTTAATTCTTGATCAACATACGACAAATGGGGAATGGCTTTTATTTCAACAAATCAAAAGAAAATTAAATGTTCCTAAACAGAGAAATTGTACATGTATGATTACTTCATGGCAAGATACCGCGGAAACAGTTGGTGGTCAAAACTTGGATAACTTTTTTTTCTTCCTCCCAGAGCTTCACCATCCAGCTGCGCATTCTTATCTGACCCAGATTTGCACAACAAGCCACTGTAGTACATTTTGTTATGGCCCAAATCATCAAGACCTTTTGTTATGTTCCCCTTCTGATGTAAAGAACATAAACAACCACTAAATCGTGGTCGTCCTCATACACCTTGTTTATCTGTGACGCCTCTTGAATGAATGAGTACAACGACGTCCCATGTGGTGAGCAGATGTTCAGGCAAAGCAAACCAGGGGCCGCAAATATTACATAAACTCACTGGACAGTGCAGAAAGAAACGATAACTAGGATATGCGCTCATCATCTCAAGAATAGTTTTGATGTTATGAACCAACAAATTCAATAATGGTCAGTTTAAAGTCACCCCCCCACCCCTTTTCGGATATTTTCAGTTTCCCACCGTTTCATATTTCTTTCAAATTAAGTTTCTAATTAACTGTGCTTCCATCTAGTGGTCAAGAGTGGAATTACACCCCATATAAACAAGCGAAGAATAACAAAATTGTTTTTGTTGTAAAAAAAAAAGTCTGCAAAATTCACAATAGAGGCAGTTTTATTGCATTAACTTTGTTGATGATGATTCATAAGAACAACAATGTACGTATTTGACAGTAGTAAGACTACATGCACTTGCACATGGATGTCGGTGCGTCTGCCGTGTGGTCATTTGTGTCTAAACCCGCGTTGAGGAATCAGCTTAGTGCCCCACTGTGGCTGGACACTTTTGTTCTCAAGTGGGACACTCATAATGAGCTTAACATGAACAGCCCCTCGTTTGAAAGCAGCTCTACCAGTCTCCAATGCCTCCATGGCGGGCAGTGGAAACACCTCAGTTCAAGTCGTTAGCCCTAAGAGTATTTTAAAAACGGAGACGGAAGACGACATCGCTCACAGGTACTGTACTTGGCTTTCGTGCTTAGACTATGACCCATGGAGTGATTTGAAAGCCACGTGCAATCTCCTCCCACTGCCGCTTTGTTACAAGATCTGAAATTGAAAGACGTTCAGGCATTGCAGACTGAGTTGCCTAACTTGTGTTTATTCTGTGCCAAGTGAGCCACGGACCTCGAACGATATCACGTGAGGAAATGATAAAAGTATTGGGATTGGCTGGTGACCAGTCCAGAATGTATTCCACCTCTCCCCTGAAGTCATCTTGGGAAGGCTTCAGCACACTCGTGACCCGAATGAGGTTGTGGTATAGAAAATGGATGAATGGGATATGGTGTGTGTGCATGCCAGATATTTATTTGGTCAGGAAATATTGTGGTTGGCATTCTGAGGAATAATGTTTGTCTGTTCATCTGAACACAGGAAGAGGCCAATGCGTGACTGTGGTGTGTCTGAAAACTTCATAGACCAGACTGAAACACATTGGGCCTCTTTGGGCTCAGCAGGGACCCAGCTCGCGAAGCACAGACTCCATTCGCCCACACACAAAAAAAAAAAAATTGGTCGACTTTTAATGTTCCCCAGAGCAGCTTCGGAGGTCTGCAAACATGATTTAGTTGAGCTGTGGTTCCAAAAGACTTACCATTTAGAAAACTAGCAATGTTTAAAAGAACAAGACAGTTGTTCACAGGAGGGCATTCAATGTTTTTGTTTTTGTTTGACCCGGAATATTCCTTGGACCAGTTCCTTGTAGTAGGCCGATTATACTTTTATTATTTTCTTCTAGCTCGACCCCAAAGATAGAATTGTTACATACATGACAACTTCCAAACAAGGTTTTCCAATCAAGCACGAAGTGGGCATAGTTGAAGGATGACAAAAAAAAAAAAAAATGCGTTTGGTGCCATCTTCTGGAGGACAAAGACATTAATGAATGAGTCGAGCATTCACAGTAATGTACACGAATACTGTAGTAGGCTAAATAAAGGAAGGTGACAATTAAAATATGCACCGTGTTAGTTGAGTTAAATTTAAAAAAATGTTAAAATGTAACTTTTTTCATTAGAAGCAAAAAGTCACATTTTGAAAGGCGTGACTGAAATTTAATGACGAAATATCATACATAGCAATCGGTCTGTGTGCTTCTTGTGTGCCTGCTAAGGGTTAAGCCCGAACCGGGCGTCCGGTGTGGGCGCAGGTGTCTCGCCACTGTGAGCGCGGAGCAGCGTCTGCAAACGTGCTGAATTTAAGTTGATCCCAACTGTAAGTCAGTCGACTCCCGCCGCCCCAGTGGACGAAGCACAGTAGAATTGATGGAGTTGGATCTTTTGAGTGCTTTGCACGCAGCGGCTCTACCCTCTCGTCATTAAACGTATAGTGAGGGCGAGTCAAGAGACTAAATGAGTTTATAGCCTCCCGTTTTGTACGATTGGACAGTTATTTAATTTTTTATTTCTTTATTTTTGGGGGTCGTTTCTTTTCTCCTCCCAGCGGGATTTATTCTTCGGTTCTTCTAAGAGTTTAATCTGCCGCGCTGTGACGCACGCTATGTGGTGGATGCTATTTCCGCGATGGATTTGGTTTCCCCTGGGACATTTGTACACTTTTTTGCTCTATATGGACGGTGTCGGGGCGATGCCGATGTCCGTGGCCAAAGTCGTGTACTCTCATGCGGGTCTGTGCCCCAATGAGCTGAACCCCAACCTGTGGGTGGACGCTATGAGCACCTGTACCCGCGAGTGTGAATCTGACCAGGTGGGTTCCCGTTTATCTATCTATCTATCTATCTATCTATCTGTCTGACTCCATTTTGTCCACTTAAACGACTAAGCGGTCACGAAGTTTGCCTTGATAGTAATGTTCAGATTTGCTCGAGCCTGTCAAATAGCTATTAATATAGGTTAATAGGGTATTAACATACTGAGAACCATTTATGATGTTGTTATCTTATTTTTAGAGGGTGAAAAATAGCAACAATTCTCAATGTGGCGCTGTAAAATATACCATCGTCCAGAGTTAATTGTGAAGTCAGCTCATGGGAAATGTATTTTAACCTGTGAGGTGCAACACGTTGTTAGTTACTTGTTCGTCAAGGCTGAACATTTTACACAAATATCGGGAAACTCGTAAACTGTCCAGCGGGGGGGGGGGGGGGGGGGGGGGGAAATTGGAAACAAATCAAGTTAAAGTAATCTTTGTGCACATGAACCATATATGCAGTATTTTAGTGTCAGATATGCATCTGAGCCTTAGAGAGACAAGGCACAGTACACCCTGAGCATAGTTATTAGTCAAACTCACGGACATACAGTGTCACAAAAACAAGATTTTACAAGTGACTCTCGATTTATGAGGTGTTTTTGATTGTTTTTTTTGGGATGAGCTTTGACTTGCAAGTGCAAACTTGAGATGCAAGCGCCTTATAATGGCAAGGTGACTCAACTCAATTCTCAACAAGCACCAGTTGGTAGATAACACGAAATATTCTTCAAAAAGAAGGCTTTGCACTTTTTTGTTGCCACTCTCAGCTCAAGGCGATTGTCCAACTAAACATAAACCAAAGAGAATGACACGATCTGTATTTAAAATGATATGGGTTGCAGAAATGTTCTTTGTCATTCTCTGTCTAGGACTGCGAGACGTTTGAGAAGTGCTGTCTCAACGTATGTGGGAACAAGAGTTGCGTGGCGGCACGCTACATTGACATCAAGGGCAACAAGGGGCCCATTGGAATGCCCAAGGGAGCCACCTGTGACAAGTTCATGTGCTCCCAGCAAGGTTCCGAGTGTGACATCTGGGACGGGCAACCTGTGTGTAAGTGCCGGGACCGCTGCGAGCGAGAGCCCCACTTCACGTGCGCGTCTGACGGCATGACTTACTATAACAAGTGTTACATGGACGCAGAGGCGTGCTCCAAGGGTATCTCTATCTCTGAGGTCACCTGCAGGTAACATGTTAAGTATTTTCAATGTTTTCCAATTGCTTTTTGCTTTGGTGATGTCATGTTGTCGGGGAGACGTTGGCTGCTCTGAACGTGATGCGTATTCTTTATTTCACCCATTAAATTGACAAAAAAAAAAAAGAATTAAGACCGTAGCGGCAATATTCAGGAATGTCAGTATTTTCATATCAACTTCAGAGTTAAGTTTTAATTTAAGTTATGACTCTTCATGAGGTACACTTATACAAACAAAGAACTCCCGTTTTTACTAGATCGTCACCTCTACTACAGGTACCACCTGACATGGCCAAACACCAGTCCTCTCCCAGCCGAAACAACTCTCCGTCCGACCACGGCTCTTCAGACCACTCTGCCGGTTGACGTCCAGAGCCCCGCCATCCACAGCAGCCCCGCTCAGCAGGCTGTGTTTGTGGGGGAGACAGCCAGCTTCCTGTGTGAGGTGACCGGGAAGCCGCACCCGCAAATCACCTGGGAGAAACAACTGAAGGGCAAGGACAACATCATCATGCGACCGAATCACGTGCGAGGGAACGTCGTGGTCACCAACATCGGCCAGCTTGTCATTTACAACGCGCAGCTTCAAGATGCCGGAATTTACACGTGCACGGCCAAAAACGTGGGAGGAAGCGTATCTTCTCACTTCCCTTTGGCGGTAATCAAGAGAGAGGCGAGAGGAAAGGAAGCCCAAGGAAACAATACCAATCGTCCTTTCCCACCTGCAGAGTGCTTAAAAAGTCCAGACACCGACGACTGTGGAGAGGAAAGCATAAGCTGGTACTATGAATCAAGCCGGAACAATTGCTTCACCTTCACTTACAGTCAGTGCAATAAGAACCGGAATCATTTCGACGCCTATGATATCTGCATGCTGTCATGTGGGGGAGAGCTGGCGGCTCCTTGTAGCCTGCCCAGCGTTCAGGGACCCTGCAAGGCCTACGAGCATCGGTGGGCTTACAGCAACGCCCTCAAAAAGTGCCAATCTTTTGTCTACGGAGGCTGCGGCGGCAACGAGAACAACTTTGAGTCCAAAGAGGCGTGCGAAGGGATGTGTCCCTTTCCCAAGAACCACAACTGCAAGGAGTGTAAGCCCCGAAGTAAGATGGTGGCCAGTTTCTGCAGGAGCGATTTTGTCATCCTGGCACGGGTCACCGAGCTGACGGAGGAGCAGGAGTCGGGTCACGCTCTGATGACGGTGGAGGAGATCCTGAAAGATGAGAAGATGGGTCTCAAGTTCTTTGGCAAGGAACCCTTGGAGGTGACTCTCCTGAACATGGACTGGAACTGCCCCTGCCCAAACATCACCGTAGCCGAGAATCAACTCATCGTCATGGGGGAGGTTCACAACGGGATGGCCGTGCTGCAGCCCGACAGCTTTGTAGGCTCCTCCAGCGCCCGGAAGGTCCGGAAGCTTCGTGAGGTTTCCAGCAAGAAGAGCTGCAATTTTTTTAAGGAGTTGCCTGGCACCCAGTAGGGGCTCTCAGATCAACCGCACACCGTCCCACTGACTCCTCTCGTAGAACCTAATCATAAAATTGAAGACTTGAAAAGCATGTCAAATCCCAGAAAGTATGAAAGGTAATTCAAATGATCTTGGTTATATTTGACTAAATTGACATTAGAGCCCCTCTCTAATATTAGCATTGTATTCATATGTGTCGTTCTATATTTGTGGCTTAAACGGATGTGACGTCTCAGTTTTATCGACCAGAATCAATAAGCTCTTTGGTACCTTTCATTCGGATTCATTCACAATCCAGGATATGCATGTGAACTACTCCGAACTATATTTATTTTTCTCTTATATTTCTTATAGACAGCAGGTACAGTATATGTCTGTATTACATGGAGTGGAGAACATCTCGATGTATATTTCCATGTTATCTATTATGTATTATTGTCCATTACTATGGAACTCGATGAATAAATATGATTTAAAGGTATTACAGATATTTGTGATTTTTACCCCGTTTCTCATAAACTCGATTGCGAATTCAATTCATGTTCTGTCTGAGGTTGACACACATACACGCTCGCACACACACAAGCACACAAACTGGTTCTTGTCTGGCCTTCAAATCTGAAGCGGGTCACATTCCAGCCCAGCTGTGGAGGCCTGTGGAGCTGTGTGTTGTGTTGTGTCTGGGTTTGGGGCCCTCACATTGCACACACCCCACTGGCCATCCTTTGCCCTTGTGCGGCTCCTTTCATGTGTAAGAGGCCGGGAAGGGGAAGAGGAGGGAGGAGGAGGTGGAAAAGATGGATGTTGGGTGACTCACTCTCTGGGCCACATGTATGCTAATAGCAAGGAATGGTAACTCAAGAAGGATATTGCATCTGTATTTCGATTTGTGGCTGTCCTGTTTAATATCGGGCCGAAATGTTGCCAAGGGAGAGATTAGCTCATTGTAATGCACCAACAATACAAAAAGAAACCGACATAATCTCCCTCTCTCATCTTTAGCAACTGAATGTTTATAAACCCCCTCCCTTGCCTTTACGCCCCCCTCCCTCCACACACACTCACACCCCTCTTCTTCACCCGTCTACTCACTTAGACCGTCAGCAACCCAGCCTTCAGCGATGACCTCTGACCCACCTAATGAAAAAGAGGCCACCAAGAAAAGGACCACTTTCATTAGAGCTGCTGACAAGTGACTAGCTAAGCTCCACAAAAAAAAAAAAAAAAAACTTGATGCTCAACTCCTCACATCACAGTCGGCAGCTGACTTCAACACCAAGTTCACATGGAGACCACCAGCTAGGCCACCCGCCCGCCAGACAGACCATAATAATGAGCATGACAAGTGCAGACACAATGCCCTCAGTGACACCGTATGGAGGAGGAACTTGGGACGTTGACGGTAATTCATGATACACAATCAACCCAGCCATACTGGCATGAACCAAGTGGCACGCTCATTTGCTTGTCAACTAAAAATGAGATTGATGTATATGTATATTGTTCTCATATACTGTATTGTGTAGTTGTTATTTATTTATTTGTTTATCAAGAGTAGATAGATTGTTGAACATTTCTGGGTGATACAACATCTTTAAATTCTGGAGTAATCCCTGGTGTACGGATGTTTACAGCCCATATAACATTCTATCTGACACTAGAAGCTAGAAATTACCATTTTCCTTATCATAATACTTATTTTTTTTCTTTAATTTGTAGCTTTCTTTCTACAAGAGCTCTTATTTTATAAATATATCATCCACCAGATGCACTGAATTAAAAAAAAAAAGGTTTCAACTGTTGTGTGTGGCTATGCACGGTCATGCATAGCCACTAGGTGGTGCTCAAAGCACATGCCTCTTTGCCCCGGACGTGTAACGTGTAAAACATATCCGGTATTTAGTTGCTATTTTTCGAAAACTGATGTTATTTGCATGGAGAAGCAAAACTATTTTACTAAGTAACGGTTAATGAGTTTGGAAGCGTAATGGTAGCCTTTTGGGGAAAAAATTAGATTGTTTTGTTTTTTGTTTTTTTTACTCAAAAATGTTCGTATTTAAAAGTCACGCACTACTTTGCAACGCGTTACTGTCATCACTGGGTATTCCTAAATGTAATTTGAAGCACTGTTGTATTTAATTTAATTCGTTGCACTTTACTTAATTTCTTAAAAAGTTGTACAACCGCATATTTCGGTTGGGACTTTTTCTGGCATTCACTCGAGACCCATTCTAATACATTTTGATCAACACGACACATGCAATTGATAATGTAAGAAAGCAGAGAATTGAACATCGTCATTGGTTGCGCATAAGCATTTGCAACTTCTTCCTTTAAATGATACAACGATGTGAGGATTGAACAAATAGTTTTGACACTTGCAATTCCGACCTGAAAATTGTACCAGGGCGACTGAGAAAAAAATTGCGCATTAAATTCGAGGCAGGGATGTTATTTGCATGGAGAAGCAAAACTATTTTACTTAGTAACGGTTAATGAGTTTAGAAGCGTAACGGTAACCTTTTGGGGAAAAAATTAGATTTTTTTTTTTTTTTTACTCAAAAATGTTCGTATTTAAAAGTCGCGCTACTTTGCAACGCGTTACTGTCATCACTGACGATCGGTATTCTAAATGTTACTTGAAGCACTGTTGTATTTAATTTAATTATTTGCACTTTACTTAATTTCTTAAAAAGTTGTACAACCAGATATCTTGGTTGGGACTTTTTCTGGCATTCAGTCGAGACCCATTCTAATACATTTTAATCAACACGACACATGCAATTCATAATGTAAGAAAGCAGAGAATTGAACATCGTCATTGGTTGCGCATAAGCATTTGCAACTTCTTCCTTTAAATGATACAACGATGTGAGGATTGAACAAATAGTTTTGACACTTGCAATTCCGAGCTCAAAAATGTACCAGGGCGACTGAGAATAAACTGCGCATTAAATTCAAGGCAGCGTCATTGATTCAGATTCTAGAGTTTTTAGAAAGAGAATATTCATTCCTATTCTGGCCTCACTCGAGTTTCAAAGCAGCATCCGGTCTCAACCAGGCCTTTCCACACTGAACCAAAGCATGCAGTCCCTCTAAATAGATTTTTTTTTTCTGCTTTCGGCACAATGACCTCACAGTTCCTGTTGCCGTGGTTGCAGCAGGACAGATCGGACCTCCCTCCCTCTTTGTCAAGTGCTATGAAGTTGTGCAGACGCTGGAGGGAGTCCTAACGTAAATGTTGACAGGAATACTGCGGTGACTCGGAACGTCTGAACCGAGTGAGTCTTGCGCATAAGCATTTGCAACTTCTTCCTTTAAATGAGAAACTGCTTTTCTGAAATGATACAACGATGTGAGGATTGAACAAATAGTTTTGACACTTGCAATTCCGAGCTCAAAAATGTACCAGGGCGACTGAGAATAAACTGCGCATTAAATTCAAGGCAGCGTCATTGATTCAGATTCTAGAGTTTTTAGAAAGAGAATATTCATTCCTATTCTGGCCTCACTCGAGTTTCAAAGCAGCATCCGGTCTCAACCAGGCCTTTCCACACTGAACCAAAGCATGCAGTCCCTCTAAATAGATTTTTTTTTTCTGCTTTCGGCACAATGACCTCACAGTTCCTGTTGCCGTGGTTGCAGCAGGACAGATCGGACCTCCCTCTTTGTCAAGTGCTATGAAGTTGTGCAGACGCTGGAGGGAGTCCTAACGTAAATGTTGACAGGAATACTGCGGTGACTCGGAACGTCTGAACCGAGTGAGTCTCCTCCAAGGTCAGTATTCTTTGTCGAGTGGAAAAAGGAACACGTTGAACTCTTCCATTTTGGCAGTGCATTGCTTTCACAGTGTCTTCTATACAAACGGTTGTGAAGCCGAGTGAAAAACGTGTGCATTCTTTACAAAAAAAAGTTATTTACTTTAAGATTGACGTGTGGAATAAGAGAACGCAGACATTTAACACGCGGACTTAACACTTCGCATGTTATTGTGTTTCAGAATAGACTTTTCATTGGAGCACAATAATGCGTTTGGTGGAAGCAGAAATAGTTTCTTCGTAGTCTTGTGAAACCAGTTTTAGCACAGGCTGATCTAATCTGAGCACATCATGGGGTCACGTATACTTTCCAATGTCATTTTCTCGTTAACATAATCATTATCAGCGGCGTTAAATTGTCGTGGGGGCGCTGTTGGTGCGTGGTGTGACCTTTGGGTCTAACATTTCATGACTCGGATGTCCTCTGGGGATGTCAGGCTTCTTTGTTTACATTCTAAATAGAATATTGAGCGACATGGAAACAGGTTTCGTTCGTTGCCCGAGCCTTTTTCAAAAGGAGTCTTGCAGGGAGGGAATGCCTGCACCTCTCAGACGCATTACGAGGTAGTCAGTCAGGCCTATTTTTGGATTGCAGTCGAGTTTGTGCGTCATGAGACAGTATGAAAATTATTCATTGTTTTCATTTGGTGTTGGACAGAGATTCATTCCATGTCTGGATGGCAGAATTACCTGTTTCTTATTATGTTGCAGAGATGGAGAGAAATGACGGTTACTGTGTAAAAAGGAAGCTACAGTAAATAGCTTGTCAGGTTTCTTTGGAGAGGGTGTGATGACTGATCAACAGGTAAACGGAATGATTTATCGGGGAGTGTACAGAAGGCTCTTTGTGAGGGCCCACTTGTGTTTACTTTACATATATGTGGGCAGCAAAGCAAAAGGCCTCTAAGTTGACCTCGTCTGAAATCCTCACGTGCAGCTTATGTCTAGTGTGTGTGTGTGTGTGTGTTTATGCATTCATCCTGAGCAGCTTAGGCAGCATCACATGATACTCGACCTCTGACCTCTACTGTTTCCTGCTCCAGTGAACAACCCCTGTCCAAATGTATCTATCTACCCGAGAAAACAGGACTGTGTGGGTTGGAATAGTACACTGCTCAACAAATGTTTACTACATTTTGATCAACCCCCTTTTTTTTTCTGTTTAATATTTATCAATTAAGAGGTTCAGCAACTGGTGGATTTTGTTTTCTGAAATGCATGGTAAAATTGTGCAAAGCTTTTATTGGTCAAACTTAAAAACAAAAAAAAAAAGAATATACAGTATGTCCAAAACCTGGCGTGGTAGAAAGAAAGAAAATATTTTTTTAAATTAGCATCCAAATTACTTTTAGGGACACATAAAGACATCGCTGATTGAAATTTTCTTCGGGAACCTTTGATGGACTTAGCTGAACCGACATTTCTTCACAAAAATCCAGACGTGAGCCACACCTGCCGAGTGACCATTAAGTAGGCTGCTTTTATAGACGGCTGCATTGGGAAATGACAATGAAAGTTAGCCCGAGGACATCACTATGCCTGATCTGTTGCCATAACAACTACAGCTCCAACCGAAGCGGGTGAAAAAGTTGGTGAATTAATTCTCCAATTCAAACCATGACTGACATTTTGAACATCTATATTGTATAGTGCTGTGCAAAAGAAGGCGAGGGGTACCAAGCCCAAATACTAAACTGGCCCCGGGGCTGAATTGTTACAAACTCGCTTCACCCTTAATAATTTTCATTATTTTGCATCTTTAATTCTCTGATCACATTTCTAACTGGCAAGAAAATCAATATTTGTCGAAAATGCGTTTTCACAATTGTAGGCGAGCCGCCTCATGTGTCATGCATGGAAATGCACATGTGACTCCTTCCTGTGCCAGTGTAGTGCTGTGCGATCATAACACCATATGATTCGTAGCTTCATAGGAATGAGTTGTATGAGCAAATTAATGTTCATTCATGCTTCAGGATGTCAACCTGAACGAAATTCATGTTTTGATGTGTGGGTTCAGTCTTGGTGGAACGGTGGCAACTCCTGTGTCATTCAAGCCCCACTTAGTCGGGCCAAGTCAGTGGCCAGCACCCTCTGAGGATTAGGGTTTTACAAGCCCAGTGCAAGCCCACGTCCTTTACATTACGTTAGCTCTGTTGTGATGCTATCTATTTATCGAGCTAGCTAGCTTGCTAGTTTGCTGCTGGTTAGCTTGCTGCTAGTTAGCTTGCTAGTTAGCCAGCTATCTTTTTTAATAGGCAGCTCTGGTAACGTGATGCTGCTTAGTATGCCCAGATAGGGTAATATACAGTATAATCCTCACCGCCCCGCTAATGTATATGTATACACATGTATTGTCTACACTGCTGAGTCACTGCTGCTCCATCTCTCCCGCCACTTTCTCCTGATGCCCCGTCTTCAATAGATGAAATGCGCTTTAGGTTACTTTGAAGGTGGGAAAAGTGCCACCCATGTGAAAGCCCCAGCTACTTATTATTACCCTCACAAGTTTTGTCCAAATAATGCATGACTAGTCGTTTGGATTGAAGTATACAATGGTAAAAATTAATGAGTAATGTGAGTGTGCATACAGAGCAGTTGTGATCAAATTCTCTGTCCAAATAATGCATGACTAGTCGTTTGGATTGAACTATATATACAATGGCAAAAAATATTGAGTAATGTGAGTGTGCATACGGAGCAGTTGTGATCAAATTCTTCCCCTTTTTTAGCCTCCTTGTTGACACGTGCAACATCGGCACACACTCCTACTCATTTTACATACAGTATACTGTATACAGTACTCTACAGTACCCGTACATACTTTGCCAAGAAACAATTAGTCATGGGTGATATAAGCTCCTGCTATGGAAACAAAAGAAAGCCTGTTATGCAAGTAGCATGTGGCAATATTTTTTTTACTGGCCAAGCAGAAAAGTGGAAGTCGAAGCAGACTTATCTTCGTTATTATTTGCTGAGTCGTTGAAGTAACGCATCTGCCTCATTCTTTTCGTGTGATTTTAGTTTTTCGGTTATATGGATCTTACCTTATTGCTGTATATTTGTTTTGTCTGCATTGTGATCCAACCATCACAGTGTCATGATAGAAGAGTGCGGGTGAGAGTCAGAAAGTCGTCTGCTCACAGATTTCACAGGGCAATTTAAATATGAAGATAAAAAGAAACTCTCAGAAAGGTTCTGCGCAACCGCAGTACAACTCAATCATTTAGAGCCGCGTCCCATAATGATCCAAAGGCTAAGGATGGTTGCTCTTTTCCTGGTGGCAGCAGAAACTGTGGAGGGGGGTATGAGGTGCAACACTTTTTGCTCCTAATCAATAGAGGTTGTTCGGTCCTCTCGCTGTCTCCATTCCATTGTAATGCAGCACAGAGCACTGCACACACGGCTTTGACAAAGCCTGCTTGTGCTCTTGCAAACCTTGAGCTCGAAGCCTTTGCGGCAAAAAGTCTATGACCTCACTCATTCTGGTTTGGTTTGCACCCACAAAGCACACGCAAAGCAAGAGAAAGGCCCATTGGAGTAGTCGATGTGGGAAAAAAAAAATGCACGGAGATGCAATGATGTCATATACCGTGGCATAAATTGTTGACAAATATAATGAGCTGCTTGCTCACAAGCTGACTGCACTCCATTTCAGGTTGTCACAATGCTAATGGCCTTGGTATGGCCATAGCGGCAAGCAATAAACACAGTGCAATACGCACCATAAATACACTGCAAACGCATAGTTAGCAACAAATATATTCCTGATTACCATCATTACTGCTTACCATCACTGTGAGGTTAGATATACAGCCCATAAATGAACAACTAACAATAATCATAGCCCTATTCACAGTGTATGGCACCTTTCAAAACAGGGCTGCCTGATGAAGGCCAAGAGCAGTGAAAATGCTCCAGTCCACGCTTGGATCACTGCGCCCTTTTCCGCGCAGAGATTTCTCCATGTGAGATGTGAGTGTTTGTGCCACATTTAAAAGAAATGAGAGGAGTGGTTTTAATTGGCCCGCAAATGGAGTCCGCATTGTTCATACCAACAGCGGCGCAAACCGCCCTTTTGTAAAATACGCCGTCTTGCACGCATCTGCGAAAGTACACAAGGCCTTTCACGCCTCCGTGCAAATTTACGCTGCGCCGGGACATGCTCCGGTCACGAAAAGACATCCCATAGTGGTATTATGCATGTATGCAATCATCAATGCATTTCATATGATGGTGCTTCCCTTTGTTTATTTATGTTGTCTTCAATACTTTCGTTTATTGTTTTTTTTGTTTTTTAATAGCCCCTTGTAAAGCAATTGTCCTGTGCAATTGTCACTGTAGAGACTAAAGCAAGAACAGAACAGAGCTGGGCTTCAGCAATATTGCCTCTGTGCGTGTATTTGTGCGTTCATATGTGTGCGTGTGTGTGTGTGTGTGTGTGTGTGTGTGTGTGTGTGTGTGTGTTTGTGTTTGTATGTGTGAGCCTGCTGAGCCAGGCCTCTCATTATGAGCAATGTAATCTGAGCTTTTGGGGCCCGGGCAGGCCCACCGATTGAAGTACACGGTGGTCGAGCACTGGTGCCATCCCCCCGTGCCCCCGGCACTGTCTTTCCTGTGCTTTCACTCTGCTTAGCTCGGCAATTCTGATTATACAGCCAAGTGGGGTGGGCGTTTGTTGTAGAGGTGTGGTGGAGGTTCGGCTGGATGAGAAGTGATGGAGTTGAGAGTTTAGGAAGCTTTGGTTTGCCTGTCTCTCTGTGATTTATTTATTTGTTTATTTTACAAAGGGTAGACAATTTTATCGCCGCCACATGTGGCGCCACATCTTTTAATCCATGTTTTCTGTTCTACAGCAAACTACAGTTTTTGATGATCAAATCCATTTATGAGCTTACTTCCAAATTATAATACATTTGATTTGACTATTGAAAGCTGTATTTCAAAATAACTGTCTGAATTATAATGCATGACAGTACTTCTTTGTTAGTTTTGATCGAAATCCAATAATGCACTCACAAAATTCTTCAGTAAACTTTCATACATGAATGGCTTTTGACAAGACAGCAATGGCTAAACGTCCACCCATCCATGCTAGCGCATAACAGGCAGGCAAGACGCAGAGTCAATCCTAAAACTAACTAACTTCGGTAGTACGTGAACTACTGCCTGCTCCGTAACTTCCGTAACACAACAAAAAGAGGGAAAGGATAATTTTAGGTTACCTTACACTAAGTGACCTCCGTGCAGGAGAAATGATTAATGGCCACACACGCGTCACGTCATGCGCGTGAACGGTGTTTGGGCCAATGAGGCCCATCGTCCCATAGCTTGATCTGAGTTTCATTTTCTAAATCTAGCATGTGAACGAAAAACATCCCCCATCTTTGCGTTCGCAATATGGATACCAGCATTTTATGAGTTTGATCTTTCGGCACATTTGAAGTGAGTTTTCATCTAATCCGTAGCTTTGGGGGAAGTGAAGAGCCGTCTTGAAAGGTGACCTTGTTTCTCCTCAGCAGAACTGGGTCTGTCTTCCACAGAACTGAGGGGTTTGCATGCGTATTATTGTCACGTGGGACGCGTGTCTCTGAGAGGAGGGGGGCCTGGTTGTTGTACCCCAGGGGAACTCTTCACCTCTTTTCACAAGCTCTCGCGTTCATTTTCTTTGTACGGCGTGTAATTGGAGGAGTGACTCAGTGCGGCGCTCTCTGGGGAGCGCATTATTAATTTGTTGCCACTTCTGCCCCGCGCTGCAGTTTCGCTTCAAAACCGAGTGCGTGCAAGACTTTGGCAGGGTTTTTGTTTTGTGTATTTCCATAAATCCTTTGACTGGTTTTAAAATAGAGCCACGGTTGAAGTAGCATTGGGATTTTGATGGCATTTCTTATTGTCTTGCTTTCCTCCTCGCCACACCTTGGTGTGTGTGTGTGTTTGTGTGTGTGTGTGTGTGTGTGTGTGTGTTAGTGCGAGGGCGGCAGTTGGCAAAGCGCACCGTTTGTGAGTCAGCTGAATCTCTTCCACTTTGGCACAGCGTGACATTTTGCGGGAGCGACAGAGGCAGCAGCCACGCTCGCGACAGAAGCTAAACAGATGACGGCCGGCATTCCGAGTTGCCTTCCTAAAGTCTTGAGGGCTTTCGCTGCTTTTTAAGCGATCGGCGTTGAGGCATTTGTCATATCTTAAGGCGTCACAAGACATAAACAACAGTGAATCCTCGACTTGTGAGCGAGCCAAGTTAGGAGAGAAATCTAACACCCAAATCGACTTAAGCAACGTTATTAATAAACTTGAATCATAAAAATCAAGTGCGTGTGTGTTTGTGTGACTTTCATTAGCTGCCAAGCACCCATTGGCAGAAGCATGATGAGATCCCAATTCTCTCCCATCTTACGGATTGCAGTGCTTGCATCAGTCTGTCCATCTGTCCAACTTCCCACAACGAGCCCGAGAGGAGACTGAAGCTGTCCGACTGCATTTAGTCACCCCGATTTCTCCCAGGCACCAAACCGCACCATATCCTCACCACAAGAAATGACAAAGTGAACGTGCACACACATCGCAAGAGAAAATGGGAGAAAAACAATCTTCAGGATGTGCGAGAAAATGCTAGTCATGCGTTCGGCAGCACGCACCTTTGTTTGGCTGCTCACCACTGAGGGAGGAATCGAGTGAAAGCCAAACCACATGCACCATATTTTCATTCTCTGGGCTCTTTTCTCCATCCTTTCTGACAATAGGGTAGCTGATGATTTGCGCTACTATTTTTAGTCGCGAATATACAGACTCATCTAACCTTCCTGCAGCTGGGAAGGGAATTTGAGAGCCGCTGAGGAGAGAGGCGGGTGTGGTGGTGGTGGTGGGGGGGCCTCCAGTGTGTGTCCTCAGGGTAGATCATGTCAGATGAGTTTGACCTGCCTCTTCTTCTTTTTTTGCCGTAAGCGTTGCACAATATCTTGTGAAATGTTCCAGATGCAGAGATTTGCTCTCTTAAAGATAGGCAGAAAAGTGAAGTTGTCGACTAGCATGAGTTTAGTGTTGATCCATTAGTCGTTGGGGATTACGTTGAGCTATTTGATCAGTTTGTGTGCAGTGGATATAAAAAGTCGATCCCCCATCGTTCAAATTACTTAAAAAATCGAGACCATTCTAAAACTTTTGGACTCTTTTTATTGTGGGTTTCTTGCAGAAGCCCGCAGGTAACACGCGTGCGGCTATTTGAAACGGTTCAGAATTGATTCCACCTTGACCCTGCTTCATTTTACTTAATGTGTGCTTTTCTTTTGATGTTGAGCAGTGCCGCATTAGCGCCAAACATAACCCCCCCAACCCCCCCACGCCGCATCTCAGTGTAAAAGAAGCTAATGAAGAAGGTTCAAATCTTGGACTCAGCTACTGTTGAATTATGGGACACAGTCAGCATACTTGAATTATATCCATGACTGAAAGTCAGGCAGTCTGCCCCCTGCTGCTTTTTACAACTTCTTTTTTTTTTCACTTCGCTCTTGCAGGTTCTCTCTCTTAAAATAGGCATGCCCAATACTTGTTAATTATAACTTCTCAGTTTAAAAAAAAAAATGCATCCATACATTTTGTCTCACGACGCCCAGGACACGCATGAAAACAAATAAAAAGCCTCTAATCAGTGTCTGTGGTTTCCTTTGCATAGGGAGGGATGCCGCGAAATGATGAGCGTTGTGTTCTAGTTCACCGAGAAGCCTGTGGTCTCACGGCGATTTTGTATGTTTTCTATTTTTCAGTGCGTCTGCCTCGGCCTCAACCCGACCGCGGGCGCGTCTCGTGTGTGTGGACTGTCGGACTGCAGCATCTACTGCCGAGTGGGAGGAAAACAGCAAGCGACGGCGTTATGTTTTCATCCACCGGCGCTTCCAAGCTCACGTCAGGTCAAAAACAATTTCTTCTCATTCAACTCGTTTTTACGGCAATCCGGTGGACGGAAAAGCAACGCGGTTGTTCTCATAGGCGGCGGTGTTACGCATTTCAAACTATCAGTATTATAAAACGAACACGTGTTAAAATGATTCTTTCAGTTTGATACTTTGAACTTCCTAAACACTGTGATCATTGTTGTCGTTGGGCTTTAAAATTTTTTTTTTTTTTTTTTTGCGATGCCACATTCACGCAGGCATGACGTAGACGGATCCCAAACAGTTGCAGTATTTTACTTCTTCCAACACAGCTATTCCTCCTTTTTCCCTGCGGCGTTCCTCTTATAAAACAGCCCGTCTATTACCTCTCATATCAGGATCTGTCTTGTGCCGGCAGGCAACAGTGTTCAACTCAAACCCACAACCTGAAAGGTGATGTCACTCAGAAAATCATACGACAGTACTGTTGAGTTGTTGCTGCGCGCAGAACTTTGAAAAACAGAGGAAATCTCCAGCGTTGATAGATCACCCCTCCCAGTATTGAGCCATAAAGTGTGTAAATGCCGCACCTTGCATATTGACTGACACAAACCAAACTACCATGATGAGAGCTATTTTGCACATTTGAAAGGCGCGGTCCTCAGTTGCGCACTGTTAGTAAATCGGGTTGGGCATTTATTTGCATGTGCTGACTGCGCACTTTAGTATATCTGGCCCACCCCTTCTTTCAAATTTTAGATCCCGTTGTGGCCCGCAGGTCAAAAGGTTTGCCTACCTCTGAGGTAGGGCTACATAGTCACTGTCAAAAATCTTTTTCCGCCAAGCCAGCCAGCTCCGACTTACTCTCACAATGTCCAGGATTTTGAGAAATCCATCTTGAAAATAAAATTCCATTCCCGGTTTCATGCTATGAATCCCACACAAGTTTCTCGGAACCAAATGCAGGATGGAAACATGCTGACCTACCCGGAAGGGACTCATGCAGGCTCTCCTATACTGACTCTGAAATGTGATTGGTTCAGATTCTTTAAAAAAACAAAAAAATGGTAGGGTGGGCTGCACTCCTGCGTCTGAAGGCCTTGGGATGGTTAAGCACAACATAGACGCTGAAATCTGATTGTATAAAAAATATCAATAACCCACAAGCGACTTTCAGCTGCTCTGCCGCACACGAAATAAATGTTGACACATTTATACAAAGTTTTCAATGCAGGTCAGTGCTTTTGATCATATTTAGACCTTCAAGGAAAGCCTTGAAGATCCTGACGGCAAGTCACTCATCCCATTTCTACTTTTAATTGCAACTAACCTTCATCATTTTGGAGGCGAACCGTTTCTAGTCTTCCCTCATCATTACTCCAAGCTTGCCCCTTCATCATCACGCCAGCAGTCTGTTTTTTTTCCCCATCCTCTTACTTCTCGTTCTCTCTCTCACCATCTGCTTTATTCACCCGGCCACTCGTCCTCCGTCCCATCCTTCTGAGCGAGCTGCTGACGTCTGCAGTCGGGCTGCAGCGTGGCCAAGAACCTCACTAAATCAAACCCATTTCTAATAAGATGCACTCGCACGGCGATTGATATGAGCGCACACGCGTCGATGAAACCGACGCGTTTACCCCTGTCAGTTGCACTCATGCGCCATTCTAAACCACCGCAAATTCAATAATAACAAAGATTTGTGGGATTTCTGTCGAGGTACATTTTTGTAAACGGCTCTTGTCACGGATCCCGTTCGCATCTCGCAGACGCACTGCTTGCAGTATTGCGGAAGGTGTATCAAGCATGTCATGTCAAAATGATCGGGCAAAGGAACCCTGTCAAGGAGGAAGTGAATGCAATCTGGCACTTTGGATGTCATCTGAAACCCGTCCACTTGGCCTGGTCCTCCGTCCTGTTTACATAAAAACACCCATCTGTTCTCGCCACTATTTTTATCCACACGTGGCCCGCTGTGTGGTGGAAAATCTCCGATCCGCCCTTAAAAACACAATTGGCGGCCTACCTGTAAACCAGAAACACAAACGTCTTTCAATCGCTTGCTCCTCATAACACAAAACGTTTTCCTGGGGTGGGCTTTATCGCGTGTCTTTTTGGACTACAGTGGTAGCGATTGATCAGGATTTAGGGTTTCCAGTTTGGGTTTAATTAGGGTTAGGCTAGAGTGTCACTCAATTGATAATGTGTTGCTCTTGCTAGCTCCCGCTTAAGGCCCCTTGCTAGCTCTTGCTGGCTAATATTGGTCCATATCAACGACAAAACTCTCATCAGACACACAAATGACACGTTAGTATTCCAAGAGCCATAATATAAAAACAAACAGGGCACCTAAACAAATAAAATAAAAAGAAAAGAAACAACAAGGCAGTGGTATGTGTGAATGTGTTGCTGTTAAATGAGAAAAGTCGTCATGCTAGCTTGTCGCTCAGAAAGGTTTGTTGCATATTATTATCTTTCCTTGAATTTTCTAGCGTAGGCGAAATGTTACATGCAACAAAATGTTAATACGAAGCTTCCAAGTTGTTCATTGCAAACAGCTGTCAATCCATATTTCCATGCAGACATCCAATGTAGACTGTTTGTGGCACACGCGGTTCTTGACTTGCATGTTGATCATAAGCTCGTTTGTCTTTTCCACCTTCGGGTGCTTTGTCGGGAGGGGTTATTTTTTTTTTTTTTTTTTTTTTTTTGGACAACAACAATAGCAACCCTCTTTGAAATCAAAGTAGGACACGCGACACCAGAACTTCTTAGCGGCTTCTTCGCTTACTCTTCCTCCTTCTTATTTGGCAACAAGTCACTCCCAATATTCGTCTGACACCACAGTGGGTCCTCGATCACGCCACAGGATTGATGTTTTATGGGCCCACTGTGAACTGCAAGCAGCCCAGTGAAGGGAGAATCTGGACGTGTCTGCTGCTGTGTTGCTCCATTGCCATGCATGGAGAGGAAGCTACCTGCAGCTTTTTTTTTTTTTTTTCTCGGCCTTACCCAACAATCACTCTCCGGTGGTGTGGGTGTGCGTGAGAAGCATTCAGCGCACTGAGCAAGCAGGCTCATTCCTTCTTATCCGCAGATGTTCCACTATAAAGTGCTCTGCGGAGGCTGCCAACATTGTGTGCCAAAGCTACGATTGAGTGAAAAACAGCTAATAAATGCATTTGTTTCGTTGATATTCGCCCTCCCTCATGATTCAAAGAGCTTTAAAACCAAATTGGATTTTTTTTTTCCCTCCTCCCCCAGAGAGTCAGGCTGCTGGTGCCAATGTTAAGTGATCGAGATAATGTAACGCCTTCCCCATTATCCCCGAAAAGCTCTTTTTGAGAGGAGTGCATCGCCATGAACAGCATGACAATGCAATGACGCGCTGGAAGAATGTCATCTGCTGTTCGCCTTCATCTGCATTCAGGCGCTGACCTGCCTCAACAGTTGGCCCCGCAGATAACCTTTAAACTGAGGACCAATTATTGACTCCATCCATCCATTTTCAAATCCGCTTATCCTCACGAGGGTCGCGGGCGTGCTGGAGCCTGAACCGGTGGCCAGCCAGTCGCAGCGCACACATAGACAAACAACCGTTTGTCCTCACGGGCACACCTAGGAACAATTTAGTGTTCCATTAACCTGCCATGCATGTTTTTTGGAATGTGGGAGGAAACCGGAATACCCGGAGAAAACCCACACAGGCACGGGCGAGGGCATGCAAACTCCACACAGGAAGGCCGAAACCGGAATCGAACACTTTCACCTCTGCACTTTTTTGAGGCCGACGTGCTAACCAGTCGCTCACCGTGCCGCCCCAGTTATCGACTCATAATCCTCAAACAAAACAATCGGTATTTAACACGCCTCACAAAAGATTCACTGTCATCGCTTTCACTCAAATGTTTCACTAATACTCTGAAAAGTCGATCAACTTCCAAAATGAGATGCATGAGGCACATCTGCAGCACAACTTAAGCTAACGTTAGTCTCTTCAAGCTGGGCGATCATGAAACGTGCCAGACATATTTCATCACTTTACCAGATGGCTTTCTCGAGTTCTTATGTAGTAACTTTTAAGCCGCACAAAAAAAGAGAGAAAAAAAATCAGGACCACAGAAAATGGTTAAAATCATTTTAATGCGATAACGCAATTCTGGACAACATGCGGTAGTTGTCAGTCTTTGCAGTAACCGGAGAAAAAGGTTCAAGCCCCACAAAAATTCACATTCCTCAGCAGTCACGCCCATTGTGGACCCCTCAGAACGTCCCACGCGCACACAAAGCGTGCCCACACACACGCGAGTCGCTTGAAGCGTCTTCGTTCTGTGTGTGGGGAAGCAGCGTGACATCATTTAATCCACCAGCGATCTGTGTGCAAAACAAACATTGGCGGATAAATACACTACCGCATTATTCGGTGATGATTCATCGTTGGCGTTCCATTCCCATCACAATCGTACAAGCAGACACCGACGCATCGAAAAGTGAGAGAAAAATGGCTCAAAGTAAAACTAAATGACTAAGTCCCGACACTTAATGATAATGATCATTTAAAAAAAAAAAAGGTCTCTCTGAATTTTGATTTGTATATACAGTACCGTACTTAAAAAGCGGACCATGAACGTACGCACTTCAATCAATAGCCAAAGTCTATGCGTCACACAGTCGTAGATCGGGGTTCGTCGGAGCCCCTCTCCTTCCTTCTGAGGACAAGCTAATCTAACGTACTCTATGTCGGGCTAATAATCGGAATCCAAGGTATTTTTCCAAGGCCCAAAAAGTACAGGTAAAAGTCTTGAAGTGACAGAACAAAAGCAACTCAATCATTAGCCATCGTATGACGCATCGAAAAGTGAGAGAAAAATGGCTCAAAGTAAAACTAAATGACTAAGTCCCGACACTTAATGATAATGATCATTAAAAAAAAAAAAAAATGGTCTCTCTGAATTTTGATTTGTATATACAGTACCGTACTTAAAAAGCGGACCATGCACGTACGCACTTTAATCAATAGCCAAAGTCTATGCGTCACA